TCGTGCAGGAATTGTCACTTGTTGTTGTTATTGTTGTTACTAATATGGTTATCGCTACTACTACTACCACTACTACTACTACTACTACTACTACTACTACTACTACTACTACTACTATCACTACCAATACTACTGCCACTACCTCTACTCCTGCTGCTCCTATCATTGTTATCGATTATTTGTGTGCGGTCGATTTTGTTTATACTTTTGCGTTTATCTTTTCGCCTGTCGCTAAACTCCGCATAGGATACACGAGTTGTTCCGAGTTTCTGCCAGCTACATCAAACCGATAATTATATATATGTGTGTGTGTGTGTGTGTTATAACTAATTTGTGTAGGACTGGTCTTCATGTGTAAAGTTTACGATGATAGAGCAATTGGACAGTGCCGGATGATCAATCTCTTCAAAAATCGATTATCTCATATGCTACTCTAGACTCTCATGAAACCACCCAGATAAGAACGTGGGTTGCTTATATTCTGTGCATTTCACATGTTCACTTCCCTTTGCTCATCTCAGCACTAACGTCTGGGGTTATGACTCGATTGGACTCATTCCGAACTTGCTTACTTGTTACATGAGATTAATGGAACATTGGATTAGGGTATGTTGTAGAGTTTGTCGTGTACAGAGCAAACAAAGCGTAACATGAAAAACTGGGTTGTTCTGTAAGTCTGTTTCGACCTGGATTGGTTGTTATCAGCTGCTCGATGGTAAAGTGGAAGGTATGCGCGCTTACGTTCTACCTGTGAGGTCTCAGATACGAACCTCAGTCGGGTAGACAGTTTCGTACTGCGGATGACATACTGGCTGCCTGGTTTCAGGCGAAGCCGTGAGTGGTAAAACACGGATCTTGTTGAGGTGTGATTAAAAGTGAATGACTTCGCTCACGGATATGTCACGTGGAGTTATAACGAAATGCGACCACTGTACCGGCTGTTGCTCTCTCTCTCTCTCTATTCATCTTCATTTTTAGACAGGGCCCTATCCTCGTGCAAGAACAGTGGTACGAGCGCTAGTTTTTTAATCGTAGCAGAGACTAATCTGTATTCTGAAAATGGTTGTTTGGCAGATTGAAGTTTTATGTTGGGATTGTGGTAAGTTTTCAGTAGCCTCGGTGGGATTCGAACCCCCCACGCATGAACGCCGCCTAAGCTTTTTTTACAGCGCACGCTCTACCAACTGAGCTACGACTAGGCCACACCGACAGAGCACTGATCTGTTTCACATTCGAATTATCCACCCAAATTACAGAGGCATATGACATCCACTTTTACAATTCCCAACATAAAACTTCAAACTGCATTCGGCAGACTCTGGTGAATTCTAAGGAAAACCTATCGGGACAGTCAGCTTACATGCCCCTGCCATATGCCCCTGTAAGTTGGATGGATGATTCGAATGTAAAAAGG